TGAGTGTTATGGTTTATTGAATGTAGCCAACATTTGGCTTCTTCCATTTGGTTCTATATACCTTGATGTGCTATCTTTTTTCAGTTATGACAACCATTAAGTCAAGTATCTAAAGAAATTGAACTTAGAAACGTACACTCAAATTACTGTATCACAGTTCAATCAATATTTTTAAAAAATAATGGAATATATCACTCAAACTTTAAATATTATTAATTAGATTTTAGTAATACTATAGTAATGAGAGCAAAGTTTTGTGCTATTATTAAATACATTAAAATTATCTTAAATATTAAATTCATCTTGATCTCATCCTTTTACTTTCTATTTTATGCATTATAACAATAAATATACAGGCAGTAGTACAAATATAGCATTGGGTGATAAGATCATAGGTACAGACCTGGGAAGATCTTCACTTTACAGATTAGCAAGACCTAACTGTCAAAGTGACTTACCCAGGGGCACACAATGCCAGGGATAGGATTTGAACAGATATCCTGGGCACTCCAAGTTCAGCATTCTTTCTGCCACATCATAAATAAATAAATATACATGTATATCAGTGATATGTGCTAAAAAAAAAATTAACTAGTATGTGATAAAAAAAAAATCAGAGGTCACTAAGTTAGACATCAGATAGATGAGTATTGTCAGTGACCAGTCAGTTTTGTCCAAATAGAATACTTTCAGGAGAATTCCAACGAAAATTTCTGAGTCAAACCAATTTTTAACCATTTGTGACTATCACCTATAACTACAAGCCAATATCCTGTTGAAGATAAAATATTGAGGCTACATAGACACAATCTGTTTGTTGATTATCTCTTTCCATGATACTGTATAATCATAATACCATTAAGACAGCTAAGTGGCACGTTTGTATAGAGCTTTGAGCTTGGTGACAAGAAGAGACCTGAGTTCAAATATCACTTCAAACACTTACTAACTGTGTGACCCTGGGCAAGTAATGTAATCTCCTCTCTAAACATCAATTTTTGCAAGTGCAGAAGAATAAGAATAGCCTCACAGGGCTGTTGTGAGGACTAAATGAGACTTCAGGTCAATTGCTTTGTAAATCTTAAAGCACTATATAAATGAAGGCTATTGTTAACTGTAGTAGCTTTTATTCACTTTGCTCTAACACTTCACAATTTTTGTAAAGGCTTTTTGTATATTATTCTTTTTGATCCTGGGAACAACTATTTGAGCTTGGCAGAAGCTACCATTTTCTCCCCTCTAAAATCCACAATGGCAGGGTCTTTATTTTATCTAATTTTTTTCTTTCTCCCAGGGCCTAGCATTTAACACAGTAGATATTTAATAAATGTTTGTTTAATTGAACTGGATTCTCTCTGTGTAAGGAAACTGTGGGAACACCAACTAGGAGAGCTGAAATTTTCCTGAATTGATGTGTTAAGAGTACTAGAATCCAGGGCTATGCTAGGCCAGTATTCCTTGCACTGAGTTTAAATGTGTATGGTCCATTTTGTCTTATCTCTCCAAGAGCGTTTTGTAATAATGTCACTACAACGTTAACATCACCACAAAATAGTATACATAGGTAGTTAGTGTTCCCGAACTTTTAAAATATAAACTGTGGCTTAAGTGTCTCTGGAAAAGTAAGTAAATTCCCCTGACATCAGATGAGCTGCAAATACCAATTGTAACTCAAACCCATGATCCCTGATTTAGGAGTCCAGTCAGTACCTTCTCCATTAGGCCCATTGCCGAAGAAAAGCCCAGACCTCCTCCATGGTTTCTATTTTACTACTAGAACCCTTTACTGCCCTGTAAGACGCAAAAGTCAGTTAGTTAAAAAACATTTATTAAGCATGCACTATGTGCCAGACACTATGCTACGTGTTGGAGATATGAAAAAAGGCAAAAAGGCAATCTCTGCTCCAAAGGAGTTCGAAGTCTGATGGGGGGAAAACATACAAATAACTATGTACAAACAAGATTGGAAATAATCAACCTAGGGAAGACACAATTGTAATGGATAGACAGTTGACCTCAGTCAGGAAGACCCTAGTTCAAATTCTGCTTCTGATACATACTGATTGGGTGACTATGGAAAAACCTCTTAATTACTCAGTCACCCCAGGTAACTGCCTAAAACTGCAAACTTCAGAACAGTTTCTAATCTGCATTGGTAGAGAGAGTTCTCTACCATATAAATTAGGTCTGCTTTTTTAAGGGTAATATAAACACCTATATTTATGTAATAAAATGTGTAATTACCCAAAAAGCTTTTAAAGTACCCTGAATGCTCATTGTTTCCACCACAATCAATATTGGGAGTGAAGCATCACAAGAGCAGAATTAGCTTTCCACATTAGCACTAATGAAGGTTCCACACCTGCTAATTTCAAGGGATTTAATTAGACATGTAATTTCACACTGACCAACCTGGTTTCACTTCACCCAGGTGGAAGGTAATCTATTAAATGACTTTAGCCTCACAGGAATCTATCACCAGATTGAACTTCAGGGACTCTCAAGGCTCTCCTGACCCAATATCATTCTCATTCCTTGGGGCAATGAAACTACCAGCATACTAGCTGATGGTGAAAGGGAGGGCATTTCAAAGCATGTTATACTATTCTGTGAGGACATTAAAGTTCTAGTGATATTGTGTCAAGACACTTTCGGAGGAATAAGACCAATTGACTCACGCAAATTTTAAAAAGTCTAAAGAATATAACTTTATTGAACCAAGCAGATTATGGTCATACTCTGAAAGACAGTCAAATGCCTCACCTGCTTTTGCTTTATTCACTCATTCAAGAAGTATTTTTAAATAGCATTTATTATGTGGCTATTATGTACAGAGGACTGTGCTAGACCCTAGGGAATACAAAAACAAAACAGACCTTGACCTCAAGAAGTTTACATTTTATTGGAAAAAAACAACATGACTACAGACAAATAAGTTCAAAATATATAAAAAGTAAAATAAAGTAATTTGGAGGTAGGTGCAGAGGACACTAGCCATTGGAGGGCTCAGGAGAAGCCTTCTGTAGGGGATGGCATAAGAGCTTGGCTTTAAAGAGCAATAGGGATCCTCAGAACTGAAATGGGGATGGAGTGGGTTTCATGCATGGAAATAGTCTGTGAAAAGACACAGAGATGGGGAGAAAACATATTATATATGTGTAACAGCACATAGGTCAGTATAACTGGAGCATAGAGTATGTGAGAGAAACCGTAATTTAAGCTAGAACAAGATTGGGAAGAGCTTTAAACGTCTATTTACCCTAGAAGCTATCGGAGTTTCTTGTGATATGTATGGTCAGAACTTTGCATAAGGAATATCCATTTGGCAACTGCATACCGGATGTTTAAGAGATGAAGAGGAGACTAAATGTATGGGGCCCAATTAGAAGACCACTAAAATAGCTGAAGTAAGAAAGCAGGAAGGTATGAATTAGGGTGCTCTTGTTCAGTCATTTTCCATCATATCCAACTCTTTGTGAGCCCATTTAGGGTTTTCTTGGCAAAGTTGCTGGAGTCGTTCGCCATTTCCTTCTCCAGCTCATTTTTAGATATGAGGAACTGAAGCAAATCAGTTAAGTGACTTGCCCAGGATCACACAGCTAGTAAGTGTCTGAGGTCAAATTTGAATTCAGATTTTCCCTACTCAAGGTGGAGTGCTGTATCCATGGGGCCACCTAGTGGCCCCCTAGGGTAATGGCCCTGAAAATTGAGAGGAGGAGATGGACCAAAAGGAAAGAATCAGTGGAGAGTTGAGTTGAGTTTGACACCTAATTTGTGAACCTGATTGACTGGAAGGAGAGTGAGGCCTTCCAAAGAAACAGGGAAGTGATGAAGGAGCTGCAATAGACAACCTTTGAGCTGAGTAGACAGCCCTTCCAGCTCTAAATCGGCCCTCTGATGGCATGGTGTCAGAAAGCTGCACCAGCTTTGTAAATCTGTTTACCCTCAGGGTGACAACGGTAAAGCCGTGGGTGACCCTTCTCCTCTACACCTTACTCAAGACATGTTGCTTATTTGCAGGTTATTTCATCATTGCCTTCTCTGATAAACTTTGAAACTACCCCGAAAATTACATGCTTTGGAATAACAAACTTGTATTTACCAATGCTGGTAAATATTCTTTCGTAGTGGTATTTATGAGACTTGTGTTTAGTATTATAACGATTTTTAGCATTTAGCACCTTAATGGAGAAGACAATCTCTTACATTTTACAGGTCCTCCTTGAAGGCAGGGTCTGTTTCATCTTCATCTTTGCTCTTACCCCCAGTGACTGAACAGAGTGGATGTTCAATAAATGCATATGACTGATTGCTTGATTCCAGTTCAGATTGTAAACTCCTTGGAGGAAGCACTCTTTGTGGTTGTTTCCACCTTCACATTCCTAGCACCTAGCACAGTGTCTAAGTAGTAGGGACTTAATAAGTATTTGTTAAATTGGAGTGTGTTGAATTAAAGGAAACATCCAAATTTACAAGAAAGAGAGTAATCTATAGACCTCAATTATAAAAGAGATTTAAATGAATTTCCTAGTCTAGTTTTTACCTTATTCCCATTATCATTTTTTGACGGTCCGTTAAATTGAATAGGCAATTGAAACCATCATTTTTAATATGAGTCTTTATTTGAGTTGGCACTCAGTTACATTGTTATTCTTCCAGGCTCAATCATACAATCCTGTATGGTTATGTCAGCAGATAGGGAGTTCAACAGAATACAGAAGTCTATTATAGTCAGCTGTGTATAGGCATGCAAAGATACAGTAGGAGGAGGAAAGCTCCATAGCCCTCATGCTGGGCTGGAAAGTTTATATAGAAAAACATTCACCATTATGAAGAAGAAACACCAATGCAAATAATCCTGGGATTAAACCAGCTATTTCCATTTCTTTGGATAGTTAGTTTTGATAATTAAGCTAATGACAATTATAGTAGTTGCTAATATTTTTTCTCCTTCTGATTTATTTCATTTATTCTTCTTTTATTTCATTTAAAACTTCAAAAAAACTTCAAAACATTGTTGCAATTGGTACCAATTTAATTTAATTCTGGCATTTTATGATGATTTGCTCTCCACATGCTGCTATTCTTACATGGTAGATTACTCATCACTTCTGTGAAGACTGGAAACTCATAGTATGGAAACAGTAAAATTGAAAACAAAGTTATGGGCTGGTAAGAAAATGCTTGACCAGCCATCAATTACAACTTCTCTTTTCCTTTCCTTTCTCTTCTCCTTTAAAATACTTCCAAGTGTGTTACTTTTCATTATTGTTAAAGACAATTGTTACAAAGAATCAAATGTGAACCTTACTTTTTTTTCATTTTAAGGTTAAAGACTGAAAGTTTTAACTTATCGTCCTCTAAGCAGTGACAATCAGAGATTTGTGACGTTTCTTTGCTCAGTTTTACACTTGGAAAAAGAAAATCTGCTTTGAGTGTAGAGCAGTGATAGAAGGTGCGCACTTAACTAAGCATTGATAGTGGGATTGATTCCCTCACTTTCCAGCCATTTCAAAGATGGCCCTACTTGAAGGAGGCTCTCACAAGTCTGCCCTTCTGAGGCTGAGGAGGGCGCCAGTTCCCCACCAGGGGCACGGGAGGCTCATTCTCAGCACTGGAGTAAAGACTTCGCAGCTTGGCCATCTGCAAGAGTTCACACATTCCATGTTAACATGGCCTGGAGCCTACTTTTGCTACAACTCATGAAACAGGGAATGAGGAAACAATCTGGACATTTCAAGCAACACTCTCTCTCTCTGTTTTTCTCTGTCTCTGTCTCTCTGTCTCTGTTCCTCTCTGTCTCTCTCTATCTCTCTCTGTCTCCCTGTTTTTCATTATCTGAGTGGCAATCCGTCCTAAATAACTAATCTTTCTTGGGAGGTACATAAAGCATTTTTTTCTTGAATGATCAGCCTCTTGGCCCAGTAATACAAGATAAACATGGACTCTTGCCAAAATATATTTTCCCCTGATTTATCAAGTTATTTGTAGCTGCATAAACTTGGAATGAGGATTCTAGGGAAGGCACAGAATATATGTAGGTAGTGATGGCATTATTGGTAATTAATGATGATATGATTATAGAAATAATAGCATAAGTAATGAGATGATAATAATAACTCACAACTGCATGACACTTTTTACTTTATTTTTAGTAATAATAGCTAGTATTTACATAGTACTTTAAGTTTTATAGAATGCTTTACAAATATTATTTTATTTTTTCCTCACAACAACCCTGGAAAGTAGATGCTATTATTATCCCCATTTTACAGATGAGGAAATTGAGGCAGACCAAAGTTAAGTGACTTGCCCAAGACTGCTGAGCTAATGTCTGAAGCTAGATTTGAACTCGGGTATTCCTGACTCCAGGTCCAGTGTTCTGTCAACTCTGCCACCTAGCTGTCTCTAGTTTGAAAGTACTTTCCATACATTATTTTGTTGGACACTTAACAACAATATGATTGTATGTTGTTGTTCAGTCATTTCAATTGTGTCCAATTCCTCTTGACTCCATTTAGGGTTTTCTTGCCAAAGATACTGGAATAGTTTACCACTTCCTTCTCCAGTTCCTTTTATAAATGAGGAACTGAGGCAAACAGGGTTAAGTGACTTACCCAGGGTCACACAGCTAGTACGTGTCTGAGGCCAGATTTAAACTCAGGAAAATTAGTCTTTCTGACTTCAGGCCCAGCACTCTATCCACTGTTCCACTTAGCTGCCCCTCTTATTTTCTAGAAGAGGAAAACTGGGGGTCATGCAGATTAAGTGACTTGCCTAAAGTTAAATACATAGCTAGTAAGTGATGAAGATGGGATTTGAACCCACCTTCTAATTCTAAGCCCAGTATTCTTTCTACTTTACTTCTATGATGGAAAATGGTTTCAGTTTCATATTATTTTGAACATACAGAGGAACAATAAGACATTTAAGTGCTATTAGTCTATACTTTTATGTTTTTTTCAGAACTTATTTTTTTCTAAGAGGCAAGGAATTTAAAAAGTCTCCATAAACGTGGTATGGTAGAATGAGATTGGACTTTTAGTCAGGAGGCTTGGGTTTGAATCGTGGCCCTGCCACTGATTCCTTCTCTATAAAATGAGAATATATTTACTTTATAGGATTCTTATGGAAAAAATTAACATGTGAAATAATACAAACCACAAAGTTCTATCTATATTTCAGTTATTTACAAATTATAATGATGGGAATCAATGTGTTACAATAGACAGAGAGCTGGACTCAGAGTAAGGAAGACGACACTGCTTATATATACAAACTGTCCATGTAGCCTGGGTAAGGCACCACCTTGCAGTTGCCCCTAGCCAAGTCTCAGACTCTAAATTATAGAGCAGCTGCCCGTCTGCAAGTTTCCTTACCAGTTCCCGATACAAATGAAGTCTCAGATCCAGTCCCTATTCCCATCCTGTTCTTCATTCCTTGTGTTAAAAAAATCATCATCATCATCATCACCATCATCATTGTATTGTAGTATCTCACAATTGAAAGAACCCTCAGAGATTATCTCATCTGATTCCAGGCAAATTTTGAATCCCATCTTCAACCACCTTGACAAGCATAGGTTTGGTCATCCAGTCTCTCCTTGAGACCCTTCAGTGTTAGAGAACTCGTAACCTCCCAAAGCAGCCCATTCCACTTATAGACAGCTCTAGTTGATAAGATTCTTTTCCTTGTATGAAGGAGTACATTTTTATAAGTTCTAGCCATTCATTCTAGTTCTGCCTACTAGAGCAAAGCACAAAGAGTCCAAATCACCTTAGATATGAGAGCCCTTCATATTATTAATGGCAGCTATCACTTCACCTCTACCATGCCTTTTCTTTGGATGAAATATGCCCCATTCCTTCTAATGTTGCTTATATGATGTGGTTTCAAATATCTTTACCCATTCTGGTTGTCTCCCTCTGGACGGGATATATCTACCTTGACAACATCCTTCCCAAAATATGGTGCCCAGAACTGAGGAGAATGGGATCTGGAGGGAAAGCCCTCCAGGTGGACTCTCACTTCCCTTATTCTGGGCACTAGAATTCTATCCATGTAAATACCTTTAAATAGCATCAATACAGTCTATTCTCCTGGAGGCCTCTGAATGTGAATGGTAGTGTCTAACATTTTCTATTGGTATCCCCAGAGCTTAGCAAGTGGTAAGCATGTAATAAATACCTTTCTTTCTTTCTTTCTTTCTTTCTTTCTTTCTTTCTTTCTTTCTTTCTTTCTTTCTTTCTTTCTTTCTTTTTTTCTTTCTTTCTTTCTTTCTTTCTTTCTTTCTTTCTTTCTTTCTTTCTTTCTTTCTTTCTTTCTTTCTTTCTCTCATATAGATTGGAGATGATTAACTGGGCCAAAATACCAACTCGTTAGTCATCTAGCTTTTGTGAAACAACAAATTGCCAAGAAATTTTAAGTAAGAAATGAAACAGCTGCCCTTAAATTCTTATTAGGGAGTTGGAGTTTACCTGGTCAGAGCTCACAGTCATTGGTTCCTTCAGAAGAATCCAGACAATGCACTCCTCACAAGGTGGGGTGGTGAAGGAGCCTTGGTAAGTCCAATAATCCCGGCAAGCGGGGAAAAGACAGGATGGGTCAAAGTGATTGAAAGGAGCATCTTTGCCCTGAAAGAGATTCAATGAGACCAATAATCCACATGTAAATGTACATCATCTTATCAAACTGGACACACAAAGCCATCTATTCAGGATACTGAATTTAAACCATGAGCAATTTTTCTTCAAAATGTCAAGGAAATTAAAAATTTTAAGAAATAGAAGCACTTTCATAAAATTACCACTTGCTCTGAATATATCATTTTTAAAAAAGAAAAATTCTCCTTTTAGATACAAAATACAATTTTATTAACAATTCAGTAATTCATTCAACAAGCATTTATTCAACATCAGCTGTGAAGACCACTTTGCTAGATGGTAGGGGAAACTGCAAGGTTTAAATAAGGCACCAACCTTGACTAGTAAGTGGGAAAGATTCACATAATTTAAAAGACACAATATTACATCATAAGGTCATTTGAAACAGCATCACAAAGTTCTTTATGAGGTTGAAAGGGGAACTTTAGGTCAGTGGGTCAGAGAAGATTTCATGGAAATGCTGCCATTTCAGTTTGTCTCTCAGGATAGATAAGAATTCAACAAGCATGAGAGGCCAGAGAGGGTATTCTAAACACAGAATCAATAAAGATACAGAGATGGGAGTACACAAAGCATGGGAGTAGAGAGGCCTGGTAGGATAGTGTCCCTAAACTGTGGAGTACCTTAATGCCAGGCAGAAGAATTTGAAATTTACTCCACAGGAAACAGGGAACCACAGGTATTTTTTGAGGAGTAGCTTGACCATATCTACATTTGTGTGTATATACACATACACACATATATATATATGTGTATATAAATACATAACATTCTGGCAGCAATATGAAGGCTAAGTTAATAGGAGAAGAGAGAGCAGAGGCACCAAGAATTGCTAAGAAGCTATTCTAATAGTCCAGAAAGGAGAATGGAGTACTATAATGGTGGTAGAATAGTGATGAGGAAGGAAATCCAAGGTAAAGTCTATAGAACTTAGTAACTGATGAGATATACAAAGTGGGGGAGATGCAAGGATAACCTCAAGGTTTTGAACATAGGAGGCAGGGTAAATGTTGGTTCTACTGCCAAAATAGTGAAATCAGAAAGATCAGATTTAGGGGGAAAGAAGACAAGCTTGGTTTTATACATAGTGAGTTTGATGGGCCAATGGGACATCTAAATGTAGCAATCTTATAAGCAGTTGGAGATACGGGCCTGGAGCTCAAAATCTAGTTTAAATCGAGAGATAGAAATTTGGGAGTTATTTGCATTGACTACTGACTAAAAAAGATAACGTGGAGTTTGAAGAGAATATCGACAGAGAATAGCTTTAGAGGAACACTCACATTAAGGTATCTGGAGGATAACAAGTGAGCAAAGAAAACAGAAAGGGAACAATTCTAGGTAGGATGGGAGCCAATGACTGTTTCTACGAAGCCAAGAATAAAGAGAACCAACTATTTTGCAATTTTCAGAAAGGCAAAAAGTGACAAAGAGCAAAAAATATCAGTAGATTTAGCAACTTTTTAAAAAATAGCGATTACCTTTGAGAGAGTGGTTTGAGTAGAATGGTGGGGGGAGGGGTAGAATAGTTTGCACAGGTCTAAGGAAAGAATAAATAGGAAGGAAGTGGAAGCATCCAGTAATTTGGCAGTGAAAATGAGGAACGAATATAAGAGTATCTGCATGGGGTAGAAAAGTCAAATGAAGGATTAATAATAGTAGTAGTGGTAGCAGTAGTAGTAGTACTAGTAGCAGCAGTAGTAGTAGTAGTACTACTACTACTACTGCTAGTAGCAGTAGTAGTAGCAGCAGCAGCAGTAGTAATAGTGGTAGCAGTAGTAGTAATACTAGTAGCAGCAGCAGCATCAGTAGTAGTAGCAGCAGTAGTAGTAATAGTAGCAGCAGCAGCAGCAGCAGTAGTAGTAGTAGTAGTAGTAGTAGTAGTAGTAGTAGTAGTAGTAGTAGTGGCGGTGGTGGTGGTGGTGGTGGTGGTACCTGAGCATAAATTTCATTATAATTCCTTGACTACTTTTTTTAAGCTAAAAGGGATGGGGCCTTTGGGGAGCATGTTTATAGGCAGATAATTGTGATTCCATGGCTACAAAAATATTTTTTTTAATTGGGTTTGGACATTAAACACCATAATAAATCACATTGGCTCATTTCCAGCCAAAATGTTTATTTACTTTCCTGAAGACACAGCTAATACTTAGCTAGGATTTTGCTAGCCCAAATTTTAGGAAGTAGAAAATCTATGCATTAGTTGTATTGGTATTATTTCATATAAGCAAGCATTCAGTGTAAGATTTCTAATGGAAAACACACATTATTCCATTTAGATATCACATTTAATCTCTAAGCTAAATTATTATTTATGAAAATGCTCCAAAATAGAATTTAAAATTATCTCTTAAAATTAAAAATGCCTACTGACCAGGTGTATAGAATATAAACTCCTTGAGTAGAGGAATTATTTCATTTTGTTTGATATTTATCCTCAATATGTATAGCACCTGGCACATAGCAGGTATTAGCAAAGGCTTGTTGCGATTAATTGAAGATATGCACTCTTAACGTTTTCTTCAGACAAAGAAACAGGTTTGAAGGACTTCGGAAATGCATTTTAAAAATTTGAACTCTCCTACATTATATTCAAAGGAAAGGGCATCTTTTTTTTTTTTACCTTAGTCTTAATTTTGTCCAACGCATCAAGAAATATCTGAAACTCCCCTTTCTCACGTCCTATCTGTAATGCAGAAAGAAAAAAAATCAATCGTTATGGGATGTGATTGCTTGAAAATGCTGACTCTGACAGAACTTCTGTTCAGAAGTAAAATGTAACTCTCCCTCTTCTACCATGATTTTAGACTATGTGGTTTTCTAGATCTAAATTTGAACTACAAGTCTAAAAAATGCAATAGTCACAAAATTATAGGCCTTTTTGCTGTATACTTTGGGTTTCTGTCTAAGTCTGCTCTATGGTGGGGAATGCTAAAAGAATCAGATGTTGAAGGGCTTTAGCAGTGATGTGGTGAACTGTGGCCACATTGCATCTACGCTGTCCCACACACATTTATCTCTTTCTGAGGTAACTCTAAATGATATTTGGGCAAATATGGTGACTGTCAAGGAGCTGTCCTTTGTCTAGCAATTCCCTAGAGACATTCAATCAATGCACACAAAATTATTGTGAACAATTATACAACTTTACTGTAATGATATCTACTAGGACATTAGTAGTTAAAAGCTGATGTTTATATAGTGTTTTGAGATTTACAAAGCACTTTAAGCACATTGTTTCATTTAATCCTTACACCAACTCTTTGGGGTAGATATTACAGGTATGGTTATCTCCATTCTGTAGTTGAGATAGCTGAGGCTCAGACAAGTTAAATGATTTATCTAGGGTCATAGAGCTAGCAAGTCATGAAAGCAGGATTTGAACCTATGTTTCTCCTAACTTAAAGCCTGGCACTTGTTCTACTACATAGGCTGAGTTATCACATCTGTCAAATTCTATTATGAGCCCTTGTAATTTATTGAAAAGTATTCTTATAACAAGAGAGATTGTGATGTAGCAGGCAGAGTTCTAGACTTGGAGCCATGGTGTGCTGGAGCCAGCTCAAATCAACTTGGGAGAGCTGATGGTAAAATTTGCGGTCTGAGCATTTACACCCAATCAGCAGATGTCACAAAGAAGGGCATGATTTATTGTTTTGTTGATTGTCTATACCTAAGAAAGTGATGTAGAGGTGGCAGCTAGGACACTTACTAGCTGTGTGACCTTGGGCAAGTCACTTAACTCCAATTGCCCCCAGAAAAATTTAAAAAATAAAGAAAGTGATGTAGAGAAAGTGTTAGTGTAGGTTAAACTCAAAAGTGTTTCTAGGGTACATCCTACCCACCCCCTATTGACCCTATTGTTAAATATTCACCAGCACATCCCTGACTTCCAATCAGAGTCAACGGGAATCAGCTAGCACCTAGGACCTTTAGCTCTGCAAACCTGGGCAAACCACTTAGCCTCTGTGCCTCAGGCGATTCCCAAGGATTTATCTACTACAACCTTGAGAAGATCTGGTGTTGAGTGAGGGATTTCTCACACTAGGTGTTTCCAAGGCTTAAGAAATCACGGAATGTCCACATATTCATGTCCTCCTGAGAACAATTCTTCTTAAAATTTATGCCTATCCAACTCCATACATATCCTGTTTCAGAGCTAATGCTACCTATGCTACAGTCCCTTCCTAACAAACATGTGCTTCATTCCCTCATAAGCAAACTTCACAAAATCATAACAAAATAGCTCCTTAATAACGTAATGGTTTTGTCCTTCTGTGCCTAGCATTAAAAATTACCTTCTGAATTTGCGGCATATGACATATTTGGTCATTCAACAGCAAAAAAAAAAAAGAAGCAAGATTTTCACCTCTGGTTTAAACTCTGGATCCTGTTACCACTACATTCATGTGAGAATGACACTTAAGTACTCACTAAACCAGGCTTGGCTCAACAACATAAGCATTCCGTGTGGTTATCTTGGCATGGCCTAATGTGCATGGTGGCTAGTCTGGGCTGAGTGAATTGCAAGCCAGAGATTAGAGATCAAAGTGTTGATCTTTCAGTTTTCAGGGAAACTAATGGAGTAGCAAGGGGGCCCAGTGAGTAAATATCTCTAATGTCCCTGAATACCAACAGTTATATCACACACACACACACACACACACACACACACACACACACACACACACACACACACACACACACACAGAGATGCCTTATAACCAAGAAGTGTGTGAAAGACTGGGGTGTGCCCTGGCACAGGCAAATCTTTTCAGGCAGAAACAAAGCAAAGCAAAGCAAAACAAAACAAAACAAAACAAAACACTTCTTGGCCTGACCTTGATTGACTTAACTTAAATCCATAACTTCATTTGATTCACAGTTTTATTTATATACCATCCTCTGTTTCTATTCTTCTTTGTAGATGAAACTGTTCATGATTTTGGTGTTTAGAATAACAAGAATTTTTTTTTTAATTTAAGAAATAACTTGATATGAGGGATGAATACTGAATTGAAGCAGGAAGAATGACTTTGGGAGTTCCTTTTTCCCCCTTTGCAGGAGAAAAGATTATAGCAGCCCTCCAAAGGCCAAAGGCAATTCACTGATAAGACACTAAACTTTCAAAGAAAAAAGTATGGTTACTGTTTATAGGACCTTCAGAAAAACGCCCACAACAGCAATTCCATCACGTTGTTTCAAAGCTTCTCCAAAAGTGCCATATTTGGGATTCCAGTGAACCAGGTGAAGCTGAAACCATACAATAAAAATATGCAGTAAATAAGAAAGAATATAAATGTACAACAACCAAGTATATGCTACTCCATCAAACATGTACACAGAGTCATGGATATTTGGCCCCCTAAACCAAGAAATACTTCCTTATCTTTCTGACCATGTGGAAATTTCTTAACTTTTTGCATCTCCAGACTCCTCACCTACAAAATGAGGAGGCCTGATTACATTTCCTCTAAGGTTCCTGCCAACTCCAAATTAATAAATTTTGCTACTGTGAAGTATTTCTCCTTTCTCCCTCATCTAAGCATGCAAAGTACAAGGGGGGGGAGATGGGAGGGGGGGATTTTCATGAGAATTAAAATTACTTAAAATTATAACAAGTAGATTTGAAATTAAAAATTTCATGTTTGTATTTATAATTACACAGTGACAAGTAGAAATGATATTTCCTGGGGAACTATTTCCCAGAGACACAGTTCATGTGATGGGTTGATTGGTTTGAAATGACTTCTTTTCTCTCATCAACTTGGAGCTGAACAAAGAACTTTTTAAAAAAGAACATCTATGATTGTGAAATCAAAAGTGATAAAGTAGGAGTAGAAAAGTGAGGGAGAAAATTTTCTTTTGCTTTTCGGATATGGCAATTTTCAGCCTAAAGAGAATTCAGTAATTACAGTTTTGAGAAAAAGAAGACTTAACATAACTACACATGTATAACCCATATCAAACTGCCTGCCTTCTCAAAGTGAAGTGGGAGGGAGGGAGAGAGGAGGGTTTGGAGGGAGGAATGGAGAGAATTTGGAACTCAAAGTTTTTAAGAATGAGTGTTAAAAATTGGCTTTACATGTAACTGGGGAAATTAAAAAAAAAACAAATAAGTAAAGAAATCTTTATAAATAAATAAATAAAAATGCAAGCCCAAAGAAAAAGAAATAAAAAAGAGAACTTAGTGGTAAACAATTAAATTTTATAGTCATTTTAAACCTGAATACTAGATTCAAAATACATCAAAAGTTTCCTATTGAATTACATATAGAATGAGAAGGGCACATAGCTATTCTACAGTGGCAAAATTTATCATTTCTTAATATAAAAATATCTTACTGTTTGGTAGAAATATTTTGCCCTAGATCACTTATGAGCATAATCACACACAAAAACGTTTTATGTATAGGAAAAGATAAAATTGCCTATTATGTCCAAATCTGAAGGCAGTAAACTAACTTATTCTCCCTTCAAATTGTGAACAAAGGCACAATATACTCATGTGATATTCATGTTTTTGTTGGAGAAAATATTGAAAGGGAAAAAAAACCTTCATATAATTCAGTGCATTTCTCACATGGCCTTAACTAAAGCTTGATCTAACTTTAGTTTTCCCTATAATAGAATAGAATTTACTCCAATCCTTTTAACCTGGGGTTAGATTCTCCTATGCTTTGCTTGGCTTTGGAACTTCTGCTAGTTTTATTAGGTATTATGATCTCTTTAGCATTTTTCTGCTTAATCTTCCCTAAGAAGAGTTTGTAGCCAGGAGTTTTCTTACTCACTAGCAAGACTCATGACTTCTTACAACATGTCTTACATGCCTTCTCTACCTCCTAACTTACAGAAACTGTCTTTCTGATCCACAGAACAACTGAGCGGGAAAAATCACAGAGATGTAGGTTGCATTTACATTTGCAGCATGGAAAGCGATATAACTCATTTCTCAAACCATAAAAAATTTCTCTCTATCCCCCCCTAATCAATAAATTAGTTGAGTGTACTATAAAATAACATTCATATTAAATTGTTTCCGTAACAACCATCCTCTATCTCTGTCTCTCTCCTCTCTTTCTCTCTCTCTGGTTTTAAAGGAACTCTATTACTTTTTCAGTTACAAACACAAGTGATATCACAAAATGCATTTTATAATGACATGTATAATATTAGTTTAGAAATAGAAAAAGTGGTTTTACTACAGTCACTTTTTTTTTTCCTTTTAGGGATTTCTCTCTTTTGTCAAACCTCTACCTTTCTTTTCAATGTATCTAATGTCCACCTGCATTTTGGCAGCCTCATTTAGGTTCACCCTCTCTAAATAGTAACCTACTCTTAGGCACATCTTCATCTGCTCTTAATTAAAATTTACTTGATGTAGTGCATTGTCTGGCTTCCAGAGTGGTTTGCCCTTTCCTTTTCCAGCCCATTTTACAGATGATGAAACTAAGGCAAACAGGTTAAGTGACTTGCCCAGGGTCACACAGCTTGTAAGTATTTGAGACCAGATTTGAACTCAGGTCTTCCTGACTCCAGGGCAGGCACTCTATCCACTGATCCACCTAGCCATCCCAAGTAAAGAAGTAGCATGATACAATGAAAAGACCACTAAATCAGAGAACCTGGGTTGAAGTCTCACTCCTGACACTACCTGTGTGATCTTGGCCCTCAGTTTGCTCATGTATAAAACGAGGAGGTGTCTAAGGTTCCTTTCAGCTTTAGGTCTCTGATATTAGTACAATGCAGCGACAAAAGCACAAAGCTGAATCAGGAGATCTGGATTCTAGGCCTAACTTTGCCACTAATAATCATTTATTAAATGGTATGTTCCTGGCACTGTGCTAAATCTCTACTCTCAAGAAGTTTACCTTCTAATTCTAAGATATTTGGGGTTCCAGGCAGCTAGGCAGCAAAGTGCAGAGAGTGCTGGGGATGAAGTCAGAATGACTCAACTTCCTTAGTTCAGCTCTGGCTTCAGACACTTACTGGCTGTGTGACCCTGGGCAAGTCACTTCACTCTATTTGCCTCAGTTTCCTCATCTGTAAAATGACCTGGAGAAGGAAATGGCAAATCACTGTAGTATCTCTGCCAAGAAAACCCCAAGTGGGGTCACAAAGAGTTAGACAGGGCTGAAACAACTGAACAACAACACTTTGGGGACAAGGAACTTAAGCCTTCTGCTTCCCTTTCCTCATATGTAAAAAGACTTGATGATCTCTAAGCTCTCTCCCAGCTCTAAAATTCTATTCTACTTGAGCACATGAAGCCTTCCCAGAATGCACGAAATCTCACAAGCTGATCTACGTGTAAGACATCTGACCTTGGCTTCCACTCAATTTTCTGTGAAGAGGAGAAAAAAATGAATACATTTAATATTTCTGTGCACACCTCTGTGAGGGGCTTAAAGGTAGTTCTTACCTCAGCAGCATATTTCACTCCATCCACGGTATGCTCTGAGCCGTGGTCATCAGACGAGCCCCAGTGAAGGTGAAATTGGCGTAGTCGATAGGGTCCGGTGAGTGGCCCCCCTCTCAGCACTGTAAAAGTAATCTGGATTAATACTGAATTCAGTTCAGCTTCACAAGCTTCCTCGTAAGCAAATATTTCTGCATTTTTAGGAGACCAGATTCAGAAACAGAGCTCAATAGGCTCCAGAATCCTGTGACTACAAAACTCCAAAGCCTAGCCGAACTAGATGGTATGTTCCTATTGAAAACTGGTCTCATTTTCTTTCCTAATTTGCAACAGTGCATAGTATTCATGAGGTGTTGTTTTTCCTCCTCCTTCTGTCCTCTCTTCTAGCAGCACTTAGTTTTGTGATGGGAAAAGTCAGTCCCTTTTCTGGTAGCCCTGTGCTCAGGGGCACTAATCTATTTTCCTAACCTTATCTTCCAAAGCTTTCTTTATATCTTGCCAAGGATTTGATTGATGGGCATTTCTACAGTGCCATAGAATGCTAGGGACCCTTTTGATACCTCACATAGACTCTGAAAATATTTTCCTCTCAGAGTCCTAAGACATCACAGCTTGTTCACGAGTGAAGAGAATATGAGTTATGTAAGATAGTTCGAAATGATACTATCTACAGCAGTCTTTTAGAACTACAAAATTACACATGAGAACGTGAATCAACAAGCATTCCTTAAGCATCTCTACACGAGCATTGTCCTGGGTACTGAGAAAAAAGACAAAAATGAAACAGTGCCTGCCCTCAAGGAGTTTATAATCAATCTGAGTGAAGTAGGTATGTGTAAAATAGATACATGTAAGAGATGCAGTTCTAACATAGTGAATCTAATTCTGTAATTCATGACTAGAAAAATTACCTCTAGTCACATTTCCTATGTACACAGCCACATACCCACTCCCGCAGATAGATGAGAAACTTACCTTGCCTTTTGTGAATAAGGATAACTTTAACTCGTGATTTAATTTCAAAGTATTGACTTTTTCCTCTGGATAAGGCATTCAAAAATCATTTTGCTTGGTAAAAGGGCTCTATTACAAATTTTAAAAATTTTAATCCCTTTTGTGCCAAGAAATTTCAAAACATCATTTGATGTATGTCATCACAGTTGTGAAAAAAAAATGATACAGAAGTTGCTGTAAAGTACCAATTGAAAAGAAAAAGTTGTCACTTCAGGCATAAGTGTACTAAGCCATTGTCTGCAGGATAAAATACAAAATAATGAGCTGGCACTCCAGTCCTTCACAATCTGGCTCCCATCTACCTCCCTTTCCAGTCTTATTCTACATAACTCCCTGTTATATACTTTATATTCAAGCCAAAATGAACAGCTTCATTCCTTGGTTTTGTCTTGCTCTCTCCCGCCTCTGCACTTTTCTCCATGGTTCATCCCTGTGTCTGGAACAGACACCCATCCCCTCATCCCCTGTTGAAATCCCTCCCTTCCTTCAAGGTGCAGAACAAGTGTTAGCCTGAAGCCTTCCTTCACCTGCTTCTCCTTCCATCTATGGTCCTTCCCTCCTCAGATCTTTCAGGTTGCCCTGACCTTTCCTATCTGCGTATCGTATGCTAACTTACATTATAGCTTTTTCATGTGCAAATTTTACTCCTTCTGCTAAACTGTATTCTCCTTAAGAGTAGTGTTACATTTCATCTTTGCATCCTTAGTGCCCAGAGGAATAGCTGGAAGTTCATAAATGCCTGGTGAATCCAACTAAGCCAGTAATCTGCATACTAAGACCTGCTTGGAGATTTACAGGTGCCCAGCTCTATTACACTGACAAGATAAGGTAAGGGAATGGGCCTATGGTTTCATTGATGTAGGAATTCCAGATGAGAAACATCTGTCTACCAGTGTAGGTCTGCCTCTTCTCGGCAAATCTGAGTCTTAGAGAGTAGTCTAATGGACTGAGACGTTAAGTGACTTGCTCAGGATCACTCAGGCAGTATGTCTCAGAAGGAAGTCTTGAAACAAGGTCCTCCCAGCTTTGAGGCCAGCCTTCTATCCACTGCACCACAATGTCTCTTAAGAAGCAATGAATTGGGGGTGGACAGCTAGGTGACGTAGTGGATAGAGCACCGGCCCTGAAGTCAGGAGTACCTGAGTTCAAAACTGGCCTCAGACCAACTTACTAGCTGTGTGACCCTGAGCAAGTCACTTAACTCCAATTGCCTAAAAAAAAAAGAAGAAGAAGAAGCAATGAATTGGATCATTGAAAAATCGATTTTATCAGTTCTAGACAAGGAGCCAAAAACTGAAGCACATAGCACCATAGCAGTAGTCTGAACTATTCAGTAAGAATATTGGTTGACCAAAACAACTCAACACTCAAATGTTAGGAGTTCAGGAAAGTAGATTCAACCATTAGAACAGATGTTGGGTTGTCATGGGAATACTGCCTCAGTAAAGAATACTCATCCAGGATAGTCACATGGAGTCCATAGTAATGACTTTCTGATAACGAATCAAACGAGTATGCATTCTGTTAATGGCCTGTGTTAAGGGGATAAAGCTATAGATCAATATTTGGATTTCATATGGCATCTGCCTGAAGCTTGAAAAACCCATCAATGTGAACTTAGAGGCTGCCATGAGCAAATATTAAGGAGGGTAAAGTATCATCTGTTGGAATGTGGGGAGACAAAGCTCAGTCATTAACATTTTTTCCATAGCACTCAGTATAGCAGAAGACAAGGACAGATTCTATCAAAATGTAACCTTTGCTGTTTCTTGCCATCAATCTAATATGAAGGAGCAATAGAGTGTGGCCCTTCCCATCTACAGCATACCTGCTTCACAAGAACCTCTCCTTTCATGGTATTGTGATCTACAAAGTCAGGTTTCTGAAAATGTCCATCACAAATCTCTCCATAACAATCATTTCTTTGAAATAACTGGTACAGTAATGTTGGTGATGGAAAATAAGAAAGTAAACTATTGGATCAGGGTTTCAGTGCATGTAGCTGGTGTCATAGGTGAACTTTTGTAATAAGTATTGGGCAAAGTTAGAGTACTAGTCTATTTGAGGGGGAGCAAGAAGAAAATAAATGAGCACAGTTTGAGGCTTTATATCCATGCAGCAAGTAAAAAAGCTGGTATTTCCTCAAACCATTTTCTCTCTGCTGTGAATCTATGAATTGCATGATCCCAATAATAGGGTTATAGAAGCATGCTGTTTTAAAAGCACATTTTAAAAATCTATATTACCCAAAACTAGAGACTGACTTTTCCCTTTGGAAGGAAAAAAAAAGAAACAAGAGAGAAAACAGGAGTTGAGAGTAGAAGATAAGCAAAATATTTGATTCAACTCCAGAAAAACAGAGTAGGGACCCAAGAAATATCTGATAGGTGTTAGGAATACACTCCTCAATGCTTCTTTCCTTTTCCTTAATGTGATGTGGCAAAAAAAGACAAGATTTGGAGCCAAGGGGTCTGGGTTCAAATCCTACCTCTGCTTTCTGAGTGACATTGGGCAGGCCATGTTACATTTTTAGACCACAGTTCTTCACCTATAAAATGAACCTATGATGTTCTCTGCAATGCTCCAACTGTTTTCATGTTCAGCCTATATGTGAAATTGCTCCACGGCCCCAACTAACTTAATTCTCTTCCTCTCTTACCCTCTACAGAGTAATCAAAATTAAAACTCTTAGAACTGAGTGAGTGAGGGACATATGGCCAATTTTCATCAAATGTAGAAACTGTGCTTACAAACTCCTGACAAAGACTAAAACACATCCATTAAAGTTGTTTTCATTTTAAGGGAGAAGAAGCCTTCTTTTGTAAATGTTTTCAGCCATATTTAGAAAGGATGTCTTCTAGAGATTACTTAACCAAACATCTTGTCAGACCAAATTTATTTTGTTGCCCTCCCAATCAGAGTTAGCTAACTTCAGGCAAGATTGCGAAGTGGGGGAAATTGTCTTTGCAACCTCCAGCCTCTTCCTTGTGCACCCTTTCCCCTTTTCCACTGTGTGATCCCTCTAACCTCTTACTCTCCACCCTATGCACTTTCAGGCACCCTGTGCACTCCTACTTTCTCTCCCTCTGACTTAGTCTTTATCAAACTAGTTCTCAAGAGAGCATTTTATACTAGCTATTTGGATTTGTAAAATAAAGTTAATATGCTACTTCTCTCAGGGGTATTTGTTTTTCCAGCCTTGTTTCTAATTGTGGCATAAAAGGCTTTGTCTGCCATTAAAAGAATTTTTGGCATCAGGGAACTGGTAAGGAATATTTTTGGAGGAGAGGTATTGGTATATAGCAATCAATGCCTCCCCTAAAAACATTCCACAAATCAAGGCGAGTAGGGTCAACTCTGGGATAATGCCAACCTTCACCACATCCACTGCCTTTTTGCTCATGAAAATGGATTCCGAGACCATGAATCCAAAATAAACATTTCCCACTCTAATTTCCTTAAAATATTAATTTGACATTCATGAAAACCAAGACCTAGCACAATGAATATAGTCAGAATAAAAGAGAGGGAGACTAGGTCTTTAATCAAGATGTTTACTTCTAATTATCCTTCGTCTTAGACTGGTATGTAAATACTTTCATCCAAGTCTAATTTGGATTCTGCCTGAGCAGATAAAAAGAAATCCAAGGTTCAAGAAGTTTCCAATAAATTCAGTTAATATAAATAGCTGACTTGGATTATTCACACCCCAAAACTTACTCAGTATTTTCAGCCTGGGTCTGAATGATCTGATTAACTAACCAAGCTTGGCAGTTTGTTTTATAGAATCAGTTGTTAGGAGGGATCTTAAAGATCCTCTGTTCTCACTCCCCTCTTTGAATATAAGAGTAAACTGAGGCCCTAGGTGGCACAGTGGATAGAGTGGCAGGCCTGGAGTCAGGAAGACCTGAGTTTAGATCAGCTGCAGATGCTTACTAGCTGTGTGACTCTGGCTAAGTCATTTAAACCTGTTTGCCTCAGTTTCTTCATCTGGCAAATGAGCTGGAGAAGGAAATGGCAAACCACTCTAATATTTTTTCCAAGAAAACCCCAAAATGGGGACATGAAGAGTCAGATAAAATGGAGAAATGATTGAACAATAATAAACTGAGACCCAGAGAAATCAAGTGACTTGCCAAGGGTCACACATGTAATAAATGGAAGAGCCAGGATTCCGCTTCAGGTACTATGTCTCCAAATCCTTCCCCCCAACCCCCACCCCACACACATACCAACCAGAGCACCATTATGTTTACTTGATCTGAAGATCATCTTTTACCAGGGAAATTAAGCGAAGAGAAATATAAGATGAAAGTTAACAATACAAATTGGTTCAATATAAGGAATGACTTTTCAGAGGTAATTAGAAAGCACTTCACAATCATGAAAGCTACTACACAATGATGAGCAAAATAATTTCATCTATATAAGCTTGGCCAGAGTAGCTCAAACTCCTTAGCTTATCTGATTTGCTCTGGCTTCTCTATATAAATACTTAGCAAAGTATTGAGTCAGATACCTTGATTGTGTAGAAATATTGGTCCAGCATGAGCACCACATAGAAATACTTTCAAAGGGTTGACTTTTATAAAAAATAAATGCAATTTAAAAGAACAAACAATGAGTTAATATGAGATAATATTTAAGAAAAATTCTAGCATCATCTTTCCATATAGCCTGGGACACAAAAACTATACCTCTCTTGCTCTCTACTACAACTGAGAATCTTTGTGTGAATCAATTATAATAATGATAAATAAGCTATTATTACAGATAGGCATTCATTACTGATGTTTAGAATGCTTTTAGAAATTGTGTTGCATTAGGTAACAGACACAATGATTTTCCCTAATCTTACTGACAGCAGAACTAAATCTTTCTCCCAATCTTAAGATTCAATGAATTGCCTAAAGCTATAGGGAAATATGGGGGACTTATGATAGATCTTCCAGTTTCACACAAAGATGCTACTAAAGTAGAAATTTTGTAAGAAACTTAACTAACGCTCATTCAAATAATCAATTGAACAAATATTTATTGAGCACCTACTAAGTTCAAGAAATTGGGTTACAAACTGAAATAAGTCCAATAGTCCCTGTTGGGCTTCCAAAAAAAATGAGTTGGAAGTGATGAAGTACTTAGCACAGTGCCTGGAATATAGTAGTTACTTAATAAATGTTTCCTGACTGACTGATGAAAGAAGCAAACCTGGAATCACACAATGAATTGATTCTTTTAGGGGGCCTGACACCCTCCCAGGAACCAAGAGGAAGAACTCCCCTATTTTGTCTCCATTTTGGGTTATTCTTTGCACATGCTACTAATCCAGATTTCCTACACCATTTAGAAGTGGAAAGGAAGAGCTTTGTAGGGAGAGACATCATGGCAGCAGTCCCATAGGACTGGGAAAAGATCCAGGTGTACACATCCTGACATGTTTGCCTTGCCCCAGCCAAGCCCCCTTTTAGATATAGGGACACATCTCAGTAACACTGTGTCTGAACTCGGAGGGTGAGACAGTTTTACTTCATTGCATAAATGTTTTCTTGCATCTAGAGCTAACTTGCCTCTTTTCACCATTAGATCAACTATGTAACAAAGGCCCTTCAGCCCATACTTACACCGAAAATACGCATAGCTATTTGTTGAGAATGGATACAAAATCTTTTCAAAAACTTAGACTTACTTGATCTATCATAGGTGTCATCAAACACAACTCTGCAGGTTTTTCCATTGTTCAAAATGGTCTTTGCAGAACCTGGGTCATAAGACGCGGACCAAGGCAACAGAGAAGGATCGTGCCTAATGTCTTTGGTATGCAGTTCAATAGGGGACTGGTTGTCACCCTTAGCATTTGGGTAAAGTTCGTGCCAACGATCAGGTCCTAGGGGAAATAAAAGTCAAAGAAGTTATTGATTGACATCTCTCTGATGCTACTTGCTAGTAGGTAAACTAACAATACATATTAATGAGAGAGCTACATGTTTTAAAAGTGGTCTTCCAGGAGAGTTTGCAGAGAAGAAATCTCATCCCATCTAGCCTGTCTCAGGGCTAGTGTGGAAGGTATAAGTTAAAATTAAAACTTCTATATAACTTTGTTTACAGCAAAATGACTTGAAGGGCCGAGGAAATCACTGTTTTCTGTCTTCTGGTAAAGGCTAAGGGGGAGGAATCCTGTTCCTGCCTCTAAAATAGATGCAAAAATAAAAATTTTTAAAAAAGAATCTTACATTTGGATAATGCCCTTAAAGTTTTCAAGAAAGATTCCCATAAATTGTCTCATTTAAATTTCACAACAACCATGGACGATATAAGTATCTATATTTTAGAAATCAGACATTTAAGCTTCCCAGACATGGACTTTCCCAAGGGCCATACCATCATCAAGTGGAAGAGTCAGGAATAGAACCTAGATGTACTGATTCCCAGTGTCACTCTCTAGGACCTAAATGACTGCTGACCAGCAATCATAAAGACTTGCAAAAAAAAAAAAATCAGCAATATGGAAAAAGAGGATGGGAGGTACTCCCGAATTCTGTCGAAAGCAGACTTCCTTCTGAAGGAGTGAGCTTGAAAAACACGAGAGGATCCTTCTGGTTCCATCAGACTAGACGGCGTATGCCTTCACTCACCATTGTGGCTGGCGTAGCCCCACTCCTTGGCCATGGTTTTCTTTCTCAGAACTTGCTGCCTCCTAGTCTCTCCTGCAGGACGTCCTTCTGTGTCTGTCTGAGCCAGGGACTTTTATAAGTGCCCGCCAATACCATGTCCCTATTAGACCAGGGGAGGAGGGTGGAGCAGGGGGCTGGCTGATAAGGACCGGTCTCCTGTTTAGGAGAGAAAGAGGAGGGGTGGGAGGGCAGAACTTCTGACACTTTGACTGATGGCGTGGGGTGGGGTTGGGGGGCGGCATTACTGTAACCTCTGTCCCCCACCCCACCCCATCCTCTTGCTCCTGGCCCTGCAGCTGCCTCTGGGCAGCGAGGGGCTTTAGGAAATGAGAGTTTTCTCCCAGCTGCAAAGCGCAGAAATCCCCCTTTCAAACAACTACTGCAAGGTGCTGGGTGGTGTGGGGCTGGGTGGAAGCTAGGACATAGGGAAAGTCTTCTTTAAAATTCTTTTTTCTTCCTTATATCTTCTCCCCACCCATCCCATGATTTTTTTTTTTTGACAGGGTGAAGGGAATTGACAGAAGCAAGGAGACACTTTTTCATTAGCCGTTACCAGAAGACCGCAAAGAGAGGTCCTTCCAACTCCTGAGTTCAAGTCCTAAACCCACAGTCAGGCTCGGATCTGGGCGTCAGCCTCGGGATCCCTCCAAGGGGCTTAGTACTCTCCTTCCCTAAGATTTCTGTCTGCGAAGAGCGGGCGCAGACTTTCTTTCCTGCGCCCCTGAGCAGGGGAGCGAGGGAAACATAGGAAGGATGGGCAGGAGAAGAGGAGACTCCTTTGTCTGCGTTATGCCTGAAGGTCCCATTCCACAGCCATTGCCCTGGAATAAATATCAGCCTTGGGGAAACCCTGCCTTGTCCGTCCCGCAGGTATTGGAAAGGGCTGCACAAAGTGTGAGAAAGAACGGGTGTGTGAGGATGTTGCGTTGCAAGTCAGCGCGCGGCTGGAGCTTCCAGTGTTAGTTCCCCGTTAGTTAGTTCCCTGTTAGTTCTCTAAAGCCAGGAGAGCTCGGGGAAGAACACGCGTATAGCACGAGTTGCCTTGGGGTTATTTAAACTTCTTATTGCCCGACAAGTACTGAGACTCTGCAAAGAAAATGGAGCTATGAGGCAGGCCGGCTCCGCCCACTGTTTTCTTAACCAAAATGCAAGAAGGACTGTTACCAGGAGGTGGGCATTGTATTCCATTACCTGTGCATCTTGCTGTATGTAATAGAAAAGTTAAGGTGGAATTTACAATGGGGGTAGAGGAGAATGCAAAATTGAGAAAGTGCAGACATAGCAACACTGCAAGAACTGATTTCAACATCTTCCTCTGAGTTTTAGGTCAACATGTAGCAAATAAGGCAACCTTGAAAAAGAAACTTTAGGTTAAATATATTTGCCGCATAGTTGCAAAAGATATTTTTCCCTGAGTTTGACATACACTACATATAGTGCATACGTATTTGGAGAACACAAAAGTAAAAAAGGAAATTATATCTCAGCATGGAAAAGATATTTCATCTCCAAGACATGCAGAATGTATTACCACATTCACATAGACTGCCAATCATGAGGGTAGGATATTTATACCACAGCTAAAGGGTTGGAGACTCAAGTCTACATTACCAAAGAAATATCAGGAACTGAAGGAATTGTTTAGATAATTCACAGAGGCATTTACAAACAAACCTTTCTCTCTAACCCTCATCCCTCCAAAAACAAAAAACAAAACCCTAAAAACCCAAACTTTAAGATCATTTCCTGAAATATATCATTTGAAGACATTTTGGGCCTAAATTGTTTAGAAAATTTCCTCAATTCTTATCGTTGATACTACAAACCTGACTTTAATGATTAATAGCAGTGTTTTGTCATTTTTATTAAGATAAAAAAGTCCTTGACATGAATAACTCATAATTTACATCACCACCGCCTCAGTTTAATTGTTTTTTCATTCTCTTTTTCTAATACATATAATTAGAATCATAATTATATATAAGATAATAATTTGGAGATTTTTTAATACCATCTTTATCCCAAGGCCAATCAACGAAACTGTTGCCATTTGTGCATAGGAGTGTGTGTGCTAGGGGTGGTGGGGGTAGGGATACACAAAGACAGTAAGTTCTATTTAAATAAAGAATATGCTCAGAGGGCAAATTATTTCCCTCAGAGAGGTAGAGTACTTGAAAAAGAAAATACTGCAACATACATTCCATTGCTAGATGAATTCCCTCAAAAATCATGGTTCCCATAGTTCCTTCTTAGTATCAATCCTAAAAAAATTATAGTTTAAATGTAACTCAAGAATATTGAACCCTTCCTGAGGTTCAAGTCAAAATATATTTTAGGGCACAAAAATTATTTTGTTTTATAATGAAAACAAAAACTGATTGTCTCCTCCCCCTTTCAGCTGATTTCTTCTTGACGTCTTTGTCAATGATAACTTGTAAAATTCTCTGACCACAGAGAAAAGTTACATTGTGATCTAAAGATTTCTGGACCTTGAGATCTATGGAGTTGCCTTGCTTTTTCCCAAGAGTGTTGGGTTCATGCTGAGGTAATATTGGAAAGGCAGCCACCAACAATTAACTAGTACTGATCAATTAGCACATAAACACCTGTTTGTTGAAAATGGGAATCTTGATTTATTAAGCTACTCAAGAATAATAAGAATTATTCTGAAGAGAGAGTTTGTGCTTGTGTAGCATAAGGTGAGTTCACTATATGGCCATCTAAACAAGTTAATTCAGGAAACTATACTTCTTGTGAGGGTGACATGGTGAAAAATGAACTTTTAAGGCCAGAAAATGCTTTAATGTATTTATAGTTATGATTTTCCATCTTATTATGCATAGTACCAGACCACGAACATGAACTCAAATTCACCAAAATCTGTCATCATATCTTCTATCATATCACAATGTGACAGGAGAAATTTTTATTTGGTGATCTCTAAAACCATTCATTAGTATTTAAAATAGAATATGGATTCCATAACTACATGACTTTATGGAACTCTCCCAAGGACATATATTTCCTAATTTAAATTCCTATTTTTATGGACTTGGAGACTGAAGAAAAGACAGAATGAAGAGAATCAATCAAAACTTTTAAAAGAAACTCTATTAAGGTTTTCTTATGCATAACTTAATTTGTACATTTAATTTCATTCTAGTAACTTTTTTTTTCTTTTCAGAGCACTCAACTATACATTGTACAAAGAAGACTGTGTTTAGCATCAGCTCTGGAGATTGCTACACCCAGCTAAGTTCTATTTTGTTTAAATTAGGTTGCAAAGCAATTCCCCTTTATCTCCAAAGTTGCTCAACAAGCACAGAGCTCTATCATCCAAATGCAAATTCTTCTTATAATTTTAAACATGCTTTTAAAAAAATAGAATAACTCTATCTGACATGGAGGAATATAAGAGAAATGATCACTCTGCTAGGATGTGTCTTCTAGAATGGTTCTAATATAGAAATCATAGGAGCTACCTTCAAATAACTTACCTGATAAAAGTTTTCTTAAAAGACAGGTTTATGTATGCATGTATGTACATATCCACATACGCATGTATTTATGTGTGTGTATATATAATGTATGTATATCTCTCAGAATTTTTTAGTGGTTCAATTTGGCTAGTATTTGGCTTAAATTCCTCATGTTATTTTTTTATAATTTATCTCAATAGACTGTAATACTCTAAATAATTTTTATTTTTCCTCTTTGGTAATAAATAGGGTATTCTCATAATGCAGAGCATATTTGCTAACCCTCCATTATGCATCTCATATATGTAGGACATATGGACACTATGTCACTGAAACAACTTATTCTTGAACAAAACTAATCCCATTCACACACTCTCTCCTCTGAGATAGTCTACTGATACAATGCCTAACTACCAGCTCATATTTAAATATACTTGAAAATCAGTAATCAAGGGAAGTTTTAAAAATTAGTAATTGGTCCTTTCTCAATTCTACTTGTTCTCCTTCGAACTATAAAGAAAAAGGGGAAATAGCTTAATAACTAAAGATAAAGAAAACTATTTATTGAAGAATTCACTAAAATATGTTTGATTTTTTTAAAGCTCATAGGTAGGAATGACTAAAAGTACAATGAGAACTGACCTACCAGAAATGAATAAAATGGTCATGTATTTCTAAGAACCTAGTCTTCTTTGGTGCATTATTTGGTTAAAAAAAAGTTAAATGAAGAATTAGTAAACAAAGTGTTTTTTTTCTTTCCAACACAGATAATTAGACTTCATCATTATAAATTAAACAGAAAGAAGGCTTTTAAAAATGTGATAAATTCAACAAACATTTCAAAAGACATTTCTGAAGTTCCTACTCTGTGCTGGGCACCTGGGATAGAAAGATAAAAACTAAAGTACCTGCCCACAAAGAGTTTACATTCTTCTGGTGGGATACAATATGTGAAAAGATGTATAAATACAAGTTAAGTCATGGAGAGAGAAAGCACTAACAAATGGGAAAGTCAGGGAAGGTTCCAAGGAGTTAACACCTGGGCTGAGCGCTGAAGGAAGATAAGGATTTGGGGGTTAAGGTGTGGGGAGAGAATGAGGTTATCTGGTCCAGTCCTCTTATTTTACAGATGTATAAACTGAAACCCAGGGAGATTAAGTGACTTGTCCAAGGTCACACAGAAGCAGAATTTGAACACAGATCATCACCTAATTGCATAGCAAGACCTTTTTCCGTTGTATCACACTACCTCCATCGTTGGGCCTTGAAGGATGGAAGGACTTTGATAGACCATGATAGTTGGAGATCCATTTTAGATGCAAGGGACAGCATGAACAAAGGTATAAATGAGAAAACAGAAACAAGGGATGAAGTATGGTCTGATTTGGTCAGAATATAGAGCAGGTGAGGAGGAGAAGGAAAAGAAGAAAGAGGAGGAAAAGAAGGAAGAAGAGAAGGAGAAGGAAAAGAAGAAAAAAGGAGGAAAAAGAGTAGAAGGGGGAAAGAAAGGAGGAGGAGGAGATGAAGGAGATGGAAGAGAAAAAGTATGAAAGAAGGTTTGACATTCTCACCCCCACTTCTTAGAATCCTTGGTTTCTTTCAAAGTTTAACCTAAGTGCTATCTTACATGTTGGAACTTTCCTGATTCCCAGGTTGCAAGCCTTAGTAATTGGCAGAATGGCAGTATAAATATAGAGAAGTTATGAGGAGGAAAAGGTGTTGTGGGAGAGATGATCATTTTGGTTAGTCCCTTTGGGATGTGCGGGTGGAAATGTCTGTTGGAAATACAGGATTGAAATTCTAAATGGAGTGTTGGGAGTAGAAATAAATATTTGCTATTTATCTGCATAAAAGTGATAAATAAAGCTATGAAAATAAATAAGACCATCTGAAAAAGGGTATATAGAGAGAAAGGTCCAAGGCAGAACTTTGGGGACATGGAAGTAGAGGATAAAGATTAGGCAGAAAGTAAGAGAAGAAGCATAATGGCAACAACTCACATTTGTATACTGTTTTAAGTTTTACAAAATGCTTATCTCACAAGAATCCTGTGAAATAGGCGGTGCAAGAATCATCATTCCCATTTCATAGGTGAGGAAACTGAGGGTCAGAATAGTTGAGTGGTTTTCCCATATAATCACATATTAG